TCAACAATATGGGCCTCTTTTGGTAATACATTATATTACGTTTCCACAACATCCACCCGAAGGGTCGAATCGCCCTACTTCCGGCATGCACCAACTGGATTGGTGTTAAGGAACTTAACGTAAGTCACAATGATACGGGTATAGAGTAAATGACAGGGTTTCCTTATTATAGCAAGCCTAAACCCTAAATCCTACATACCCTATAAACCCTGTATGATCTTTAACTTAATTTAGGTTCCTTAACGGCAACCCAGCCAAAGATACCTGAAGGGTCTGATGGCGATGTGGTTTGAGCTGGAGGGTTGCCTGCGACATTACCGAGAGGATGGAGTTCGAGTCAGCACAAAGCTTGCCAGGATTTCTTTAGGGTTGAGGGGTTTGAGGTTTAGGGTTTTAGGGTTTAGAGTTTTAGGATTTAGGGTATGGGGTTTAGGTGTGGCATTGATACAAGTAGTGTTTGTACAGACCTCCCACCACATTTGTCCCTCACAATGGTGGTTGATCCGTATCGTGTCTGTTTTTTTCAAGGCTGTAACACCACCTGGATTGGGGGCCCACGCTTATCAGCCATCAGGCTTGCCGTTAAGGAACTTAAATGAGTTGGGTACACAGTGTTACGCGCCACGGAAATGGAAAGGGTAGACGGTGAATGACAGGGTCTCCTAACTTTGGTAACTGCATTTGAGTGCCACCCTAAGCCCTGAACCCCTTGACAGCAACCCAGTTATCAGCCACACGTTCCAGCAAGGGAAAACTCCAAGGACAGGCCGAACTTTACGTGGACCCAAGCATCCTCCAACGCCTCTCACCTGCAGAAAAAAGGGTTTAGGGTTTAGGCCACAGGGTTTACAGGGTTCATAGGGTGTAGGATTTAGGGTTCAGGATTTAGGTCCTCGGGTAAGGTTTATAGGGTTTCTGGTTTAGGTTTTGAGAGTACATGGTTTAGAATTGAAAGGGTGTAAGGTTTAGGGTTTAGTAGGGTATAGGGAGAGTCTCTGAAGGTTGCTGTGCTCAGGCGTGGTCCACGGACATTGGCACAACTTCTACGAGCTCGTCAAGCGCGAGGCCACACGACCCAGAGCCCAGCCACCGCCTCAGACAAGCTGAAGTCTAAACTCCTTAAAATTAAGGGGTTATGTAGGAGCTTATACAGGGGAGTATTATGGGGGTTACTCAGGGGATTATAGGAGTTCAGACTACAGGTCAGATCCGTCATGACACTGGGTGCTCCGTTTGGAGCTCCGGACGTAAACTTCTGATTCTGGGCTTGCCTGGCAGCGATGCTCACCTTCATTGAATGAACTGAGATTTGAGGGTGAAGAATTTTGAGCTCAGAAATTGGTGTCCTTGAGGGTCCAGCTTTTGTTCTTCGCTGCGGATTAGGTTAGGTGGAGAGTTCCCTTGCTTTGGAGTGTTGCTTGCGTATTCTGGGTTGCTGTTAAGGA